GTAAAGTCCAGGTTAGATAAAAGCGAATTTTATTGGCAGAAAACGTCTAAGTACGTGAGAGTTGCGTAGAAAATTAACCGACCGTACCATTCTGTCCCTTGGGAAATATTCTTCATTGAGGTAGATTTATGCCATAACATGTACGTTGTTAACTGGAAAATGGCATTTCATCTAAGAAAGCCTAATCCATACTGGCGAATAAAACGTAAACACGCAATTGTAACGGGAAAGTATCGTTTAAACAATAATTAATCCATGGAGAACTTTTAGAAGCAAAGAAACGGATATGTAACGTGGCAGTCGACACAAAGTAAATGTAACTTGGTGGTCGTTTCAACCGCTGCTAAAAGAGCAACCATACGGCAAAAAAAAAGATATCAATCAAATATGATTTATGCTAATGTCTTGCGCAAGTTTTACCAGAGTCAGCAAAAGTAGCCCTTCCAAAACAAAACGCTTTTGCGCGAAGTTCGTGTTAGGTCTTCAGTTGACGGTGTGCGCGTCTTAAATGAAGTAGCGATACACAAAACATGCACGTTTTAACTCGCTAATCGGTAGAAAAAGTTCCCTGACGACCTTACAAATCCAGACAGATCATAACGATAAAATCCTCACGGAGGACATGAGCCATTGAATTGAATAGACGATCTTACAACTCTTGTAGATGTCTTCTTAACTTGTTCCTTGAGCGAAATTCAAGGATTAACTCATATATAGCAATGAAATATCCTGAAGTTGCTCCTAACAACATCTGAAGTAATATTTGATTCAAAATTTTTCTCATGTTCCACTCAGTCTTCTTCAGAAGGGAGAATAAGCATAGTTGTACAACGATCACAACTCCACCGCTTTCCCAACACGACTGATACACTTCCTTAGTTCGCGGACCGCTCTCTCCAACTCACGTGTTGATTCACTGAAATTTGAAGACCTGTCAAACCATAAATTAGCAAGAACGCTCTGATTGGTGCGACATAGGAAAATACTACAATCTGATTGGTTTGTGATACACCAAAAACTTGGGCCAATAACATTGCGTTGAGATACACCAAAAAAAAGATGCGCCAATCAGATTGCTTAGAGATACACCAAATTGCGCTGATCAGATTACACTACACCACAATACACCAATCTATACGCTAACATATAGTTATTTTTTTTNATACTAGTGCAGCGCTCTACCAATTGAGCTCACAAGCGAACTGGGAGCAGGCCGTTAAGTTGATTCGTAATAAACCCGTGAAAGTGATAAATTAGATACAATGAAATATATGAAGTTCATATATTTAACGGCCTTTATACGGCCTTTATATCAACTTAACGGCCTGCTCCCAGTTGGCTTGTTAGCTCAATTGGTAGAGCGCTGCACTAGTATCAGAGAGGTCAGTGGTTCGAATCCCGTACAGGCCTGATTTTTTTCAGGTCTGATTTTCGCTATTGCTTAAATAGCGCTATCTACTGCGAGGATCGTGCATCATACGTATCTAATACCGCAGTTCAAAATATATGAACTTCATATATTTCATTGTATCTAATGGGATCTCACTGTAAAGATTGCAATTGACAAGAAGAAAACTTATTATCCAACTACACCTAGACGAGTACAAATAACGCCATAGACAAGTACAAATATCACGCGGTATTTGTACTGGTCTATTGTAGTACCGGTTAAACAGGTTTTCTCGCAACGCGCAAGCGAAAAGTTGGATTGTAGTTACGAAAAAAAAAAAGTGGCGGACAATTTGAATCATATTTCCGACGACGAAGAGTCAGAATGGCTGGGAAATATAGGTCCAAGTTCATTAGATGAATCGAAAAACAGAAAAACAGCTTGACGACCAGAAAATTTCTTCATTTAATGAAGAAAATAGAAACAGCGACACGACAACGCGCCAATTCCGTTCCGCTTCGCATACTTCACGCACTCCCCGTAAATAAATATCCGTGAAATTCGGCCGCACTGAAATAACAGTTTGGCGTGTTGGATAATAAATATCTTAATAGACGTTTTGTTGTGTAGTATCGCTGACTATTTTTACTCGTTATTTGTATTTTGACTCGCCCTACGGGCTCGTCAAAATACGGCACAACTAGTAAAAATACTCAGCGATACTACACAACAAAACGTCTAATAAGATTTGTGTATTTGTTGATAGGTGAAACTTCACCTGAAGACGGAGAACAAGAGACGTCACATCATTCAAAGACGGAGATTTCCTTAACGCTGACCAATAAGTTTGAGGTCCCTGATGATGATGACTCTGACATGAGAGCGCTGTTTGTTAGGTACACCTCATGCGAATTGATGTTCTTACTGCTCGATCTTAACCAGTAAGATCGAGCAGTAATAACTAGTAAACATACGAATATTCTTGAAGTCTGTGCCAAATTTTCAATCCTCAAGAATTCTTACCGTTCAAGGGTTAAAACTTATGGAATAAACTGTGATGATCATTTGAATCAATAAAGCTTTCTTCCTACTTGACTAGGTTAAGTTTTATTTTCGATTTGGATGACCGCCTGTCTGTATTTTTACGTTGTACTACGTCATTTCATTCCACTTAGTAAATCTACAGTACATTTTGTCCTAGTAACAGAGTTGCCATTAGCATGCTACAGTAGAGGCGTTATCGCCTTTGCCAATTATGACTGCTTATGTATGTTGTACTTTCTTTTTATTCAGAACCAAGAGAATGATCGTAGATGTTCTGAAAATCCAAGCTGGAGATAACTTGACCGAGATTCTAGAGACTCCCGCCTCTGATGAGCAAGTGCGTGTTATTCTAATTTAGAAGTACCATCGCTTAACGTATGATCATGATGTTGTTTGGTTCTAACCATCTGTCCTTTTCCCTTGTGAAACATTTCTCACAATATATTGTATTTGATACAGGAAGAGGAGCACACGAGATCGATGAAACTTCGAGAATTGAACGAGGAGAACAAAAGCAAGTCCCATGGCAATATGGCCAAGTCTACCTCAGCTTATGGAGATAACAAGTAGGTACCCGGTTCAAAGAGGTTCTCGATTCTCATAGCTTTTTCCTGCGTGCTACAATGAAACATGTGTCACGCTGAGTAATTGAATGTGTCTTGAACATTTTGGTACTACGCTCCGTTAAATTTGAATTAACACAGCTCTCTGCAGTTGATCTAATCCCTCGATTCGTTGTAAATGAAAACCTCCCTTAAATGTAATTTTGTTTCTAATTTGAAAATTGTCAGACTTCCACTTGAAGGACTGAAAAGGAAAATAATAAGAAATCTACGGATGCTTGAGAGTCAAGGAGTCGTCACCATCAAGAATGATTATCAAGATATCATAAACGCCATCGCCAAGGTAATTCCTCCGTGCACCTGGTCTCTCGGTTCCCAACCCTGCCAACCGTCAACGGCAATGGATAAGTGGGGCACGAAAGGGAAACGAAGCTGCGCTAAAATTCCTCTCACCGTCAAAGTTTGGTGCAATTTCGTTGTCGAAAGTTTTGTTTGTTTGTTTGAGTGTACAATGGTTCAAGAGAGGTTTGCTCATCATGCTCATTAAAGGAGATTCAATCGGAACTCCGACTAGAAGGAAAACGTGTTGGACTATTGAGTTATTGCACAGAGGTTCTGTGTATACCCTTTCCATTGTTTCCATTGCTAACCGGCTCGTTCGTTGTAGCTCAAAACCAGTTGAAGTAAATACATAACGGTTTCTCCCATCACGTATTGTCATTAACGCTCAATTCTATCTGTGATGCAGGACATCAGAAACCAGAGGCGATACCGTCAAAGACGGAGACAAGAAAAAAAGAAACTGGGACAGACTTTGGAAAGCTTGCATAACAAATCACAGTTTTACGAAGAACAGATCGATTATTACAACCAGTACATCAGAGTGTGTTTAGATAACCTGTCCAAAAAGGGAAAGTAAGTTTTAACACCACGGCATCTCTTATTCACAAAGGAAAATTTCCTTTAACGAAATCGCTCGCTTTGTTTTACATTTTATGAGAACGTTGCCCTTTCGAGCGACTCTAGTTCTTTTGACCGTGAATATTTGAAAATCATCTATGTGAACTGTGGATGATATATATCTTATTAACCAAGCGCGAGGGCCGTACTGGGAGAATATCGGCCCGAGGTCTTGACAGTACGGACGGAGCGCAGCGAGGTCCGTACAAGAAAGACCGAGGGCCGATATTCTTCCAGTACGGTCCCGAGCAAGCTTGGTTAATAAGAGTTTTATTATACGACTGAAGTTCAAAGGGACACAAGTGCGGTACCATTCGGGACAGTGCCCGGTCCGATATTTAGAGAATATTGAACAGCACCTTTGTTAATTCTTCCTGTTGTTCAAATGAAAAATAGGAAACCACGAGCCAAGCAGCAGAAGGGAAAGGAAGACGTGTACCGAGGTGAAATCAAGTACACTGCACAGAGATTGTATGAGAAGGGAGTTATTTTGGAGATTGAGGGACTGCCGCCGTCACAGTAAGTTAAAATTATCGCGTCAAATGTCTGAGGTATTGAAATAATCTTCGTCGGGAGTCATGTGTTTTCTTCCTCGTCCGCAGGTTCAAGAATGTCATGTTTGACATTAAATCAGCGGATGAAGTTGGAGTGTTTGAAGTGTCAGCCAAATTCATGGGAGTAGCCATGGAGAAAGTTGAGCTTGTCTTTCAGGTAAACGAGAGGCGCGCTGCACTTATTGTTTAACTCAGGTCTCGACACTAACTTTTCAACTTACTAGCCAAGTGGCTAGTGACATCTTAGACGTTTTTAGATGTTACGAAAATTTCAGTCTGTTTACTAGCGAAACTGGCTGGTGGAAATTGAAAACCACTAGCCAAAAGTGAATTTCTATTAGTCTGTGGCTAGTGGGCTACCGTTAGTGTCGAGCCCTGTAACAGCCTTTTTTTTTTTTTTAACTTGGGGACGAAGTGTCTTTTTATATTTTCCCATCTTGAAAACTTAAGCTTGCTGGAAGCAAAAAATATTGTAAAATAAATTATTTGCTTGGTCTCGATTCCGTCGAATTTTCTTTTGGAAGGGGGGAATGTTTTTCAACGCGGCTAAAGATCACATCTGTTGGGAAAAAGGCTTAATATTTGTTTTTATTTATTGATTCATAAATGTTCTTTTTGTTTCGGGTTTTGTTCGCACCGAACACGCAGGTTCTTTGAAGCACATATTACAGGAAACTGATAACAGGATTTTTTTTCACAGGACTTACTTCAACTTCAGTACGAGGGTGTAGCAGTAATGAAGATGTTCGGACGAGCAAAAATAAACGTCAACCTACTCATCTTCCTGTTGAACAAGAAATTTTACGGCAAATAGATAGTTATTAGAGAATACAATTGCTTAGGGAATCAAATAAGAAGCACAGTGGGGACACGCATTAAATGGGCCCTGAATGGCACGTCATACATACGGGTATTTGGAATTTATGCATGACGACGATAGGAAAGGATGGACACTAAAGAAATGCTTTGCTGCTGACGAATTGTCATAGATATTGCATCTTAGTAATACGAACTGATCAGGTGTAGCTAAATATCAACTGCACGGATTCCTGCGGAGCGACTCATCCACATAAATTCTCATTGATTTGTTTTTTAAGGCAGATCGACCTTCCAGAACAAAATATTAACTGATGTCAGTTTTCTCAGTTGTAGAAAGTGCAAGCGCTCACGGGTAATTTTCGCTTTAACTTTGCCTTTGGTTTAACCCCATCATTACATCGAAACTACCAACAAAACAGCACATCATCAAAGTATGAGAAGCAGGTAAAGTGATTCTAGTTCTAGATTGTCCTGACTGTGCCTTGAAAAAACAGACCTTGAATCTACTACAGAGTAGAGGGCAGTTTTATTAGTTTCTTTTTGTGTTATGCAACTGATGTTGAATTCGCAGCAGTGGATAAATTTGCACTGTTTGGAGCTTACAGCAAAGGATTATGTCCCGTACCGTGTTACTAAGGAATGGGAAACGGCAGTTGAAATTATATATGGACACATTTCTTGGTGATGGCGGAATTTTAGTATGCAGGTTAGGTATATGTTGAATTAAAGTGAATCATGGTGCACATGCGTTTTTCTTTTNGCGAGTGGAATAATTGTTTTATTAAAAACGCCCCCAAGAAATAATTATTTTGTAAGAAGAAACAGGATTTTTTTAGCTCCCTTTTGATTTTAAGCTGACGCGTACGCTTACCATATTTGTAGATTATGGTATATTGGCTCATATACCATAATGGCTAAGCCAATAAAAAGTCTTGAATTGCATTATCCAATGATTCAGTTTTTAATAATATACAATACAAGAAACAAAATTCATAGTTAAAATGGTTTGAAAATCTTAATAATAAAAATATACAAATCTAATAAAAAAGTTTCACTTAGGATGATCTTGTGTTAAAAAATATACATATACATATACAGATCTTATTTATATAAAAAGCTTCTTTGAGTTTTAAATCAATTGAGCTGTTAGCAGAATCCATAATACTAAATTCCCTACAGCCGAGACTCATTTTCTTTTCAATGAAAAATTCTATGATCATTTTTAGTGCGACCTTGTGGAGATTTAGACAGGCAATTAGAATCGGTTTTGTTTCTTTGTAGAAAATCTAGTCATTAGATTTTCTTTATGATTTGCATGCAACGAGCTTATAACGGTAGTCACAAGTTAACACCATTTTGCTAACAATTTAAAAGAGAGATCTTTAATTATCCCTTGTTGAAGGTCCACTTGATTTTCTAGAATGTCCATTGTTTAAAATAATTTTTTTTTCAATAGTCCAGTTACTTATTTCCTAAAGTATTTTACTGCCAAGTTCGTGAAATTCCAATGAATGGTTCTCAAGAAATAGGCATATTTCCGAGATGGCAATTTTTCATCCAGTCGCAATTTTTTAACTTCCTACGCATGCACTGCATTAAACTGGGCTCTTTTGGTGACGATGAAAAGGCTGAGAATTGCTGGGTTCTTTACACCGTTAACTTTCTAACATATCTTTGTTAGAAAAGATTGAGGCCCGCAATAAACTTCTTCAACTATAGAGAAAAATAACACAGATAGTGCGCGGACGTGTTGAGTAAATAAAATGACGGCTCTAAATTTTTTAATGTTTTGTTTTTGAAATTCTTGTGCGCGCGCTGAATTGCATCAGTAAAAGCGCGCGCGAAAACTGTGTTCGGTCATGTATCGGTCATGTATCGGGCGAGTATCGGTCGAGTATCGATGGTGTAAGAATGTATCGGTCGACACGGCTAGCGGCCGACTATCAGTTGCCAGTCGCCGACTATCGGTCACCAGTCGACCGACTACCGGCCGACTATCGATCGACTATCGAACGACTATCGGTCGATATATCGGCCGACTATTGGTCGATGTATCAGTCAAGTATCGGTGATGCATCGGTCAAGTATCGTCATGTATCGGTCATGTATCGGTCGAGTATCGGTTGAGTATCGATGGTGTAGGATTGTATCGGTCGACACAGCTAGCGACCGACTATCGGTTGCCAGTCGCCGACTATCGGTCGCCAGTCGGCCGACTATCGGTCGCGAGTCGGTCGACTACCGGCCGACTATCGACCGATAGTCGGCCCATATATCGACCGGGGCGGCCGTTAGTAGAAATGATCCACTACACCTACTACACTTATTGGTTACTACACTTATTACACTTACTACACTTATTACAGTTACTACGCTTATTACAGTTACTACACTTACTACACTTAATGTATTTTCCGCTGTTATTCCAAGTAATCAGTTGCAGTTGTTTTCGTTTCACACCTGCCGCACTCACTATTGTACATTCTGTCTTACATGTATCTCCTGATTGGCCAGCTATTAGTACTTACACTCTTCGCTGTCTCTTGAGTCCCACTCGCGCTTGCGGTCCCATACAGTTTATTCATCTTTCTGGTTTACGCCCC